TAATTAATTAATTATATTTTTATTATATATCCTTAATTCTGAATTATGTGAATGAAGTCATTATGAAAAAACACCTTGAATATCTTTAACCACGCACTTAAAAAATATTAGCCATATAAACGCTTGATCAAACTACATTCTGAATAATATAATTAATTATATTTTTATTATATATCCTTAATTCTGAATTATGTGAATGAAGTCATTATGAAAAAACACCTTGAATATCTTTAACCACGCACTTAAAAAATATTAGCCATATAAACGCTTGATCAAACTACTTCAATTCTGAATAAATTACCATTTAATTCATGCACATGCTGTCCACTTTGTCTGTACTGATGTCACAAAAGGTTTAAAAACATGGCGGTTTAAAAGAAAGTGAAAAATTAAGAGATAAAAATTACACTCCTAATAGAAAAATTAAACAACTAGAAACATGTGTTGTAATTACCAGCTCAATCATCCTTACTTTAGCATTATAATTCATTTGTGTGTGTGTGTGTTTTGATTATTTATTTAGAAACTCCATGCAACATCAACTTACCTGAACAGTACAATGCTTCATCTTTCTTTGACTCTGTTGTACTGGACAACATGAACACTGCCACAAGAACAAGGCAAACCTGTTTAACCCATGGTGACATGCTGATCTCCTGGATGAGGAAAACACGGTGAAGGTAATTGAAATTGCATTATTCCATTTCATATAGACACTCACAGAACAATTATACTGAATGTTCATCACAACAAGCTAATGATAACCAACAGAAAAAAAGCCCAGTTTGAGTGAACAACTGTATAATTGTCTAAAGGATCTTACTTCAGCAAACACTCAGCTATTTTACAAATACAGCCAAATTGGCACCCACTAGTTAGTCAACGGTCTCAGTGTACTAGCTTTGCATATATTAAAAACAGTGTCTAATGTTCACACAGCCTTGTATGGACAAATACGGGATAAATATAATGAATATGGTACCATTATACGTGTCTTATGAATAACAAATCTATGAAACGCCACAATTACAATACGTACTCATTTGGCATACCTTTTTAAACAAACAAGAAGCTTCTCTGACACAATAATGACCCCATTATTGTGTCAGAGAAGTGTCAACATTACTAAACGCTTTGAATGGGAATAACAACTGAACGTGTGTAAAGGGAATAAAGTGTGTGGCATCTTCCTCAAATGAGAATTCAAAAACACACAAGCCCAGTTGGAATAGAGTTATAAAACACCTCAGAGGTAACGTAGCATTTTAAAGAGTTCAGATTACAGCCTTGAAAATGGGCTTCAAGTAACCTACTTATCAGGTGTATTTTATGCATAATAGTATTACATATTGCTGCTCTGTTAAACTTTTTGAAAACTTCAGGGGCTTTTCATAAAGTTCTGAATGAACTAGCGCCCCCAACTGAACAACACCATTACTTTTGTACATCTACTGTGTAATTTCCATTTACCACTAATGTTCTGATAACCAAAACACTGACTCATCGCAATATATGCATCTCTGTTATTTAAATAGCTTAGGATATATTTTAAACTGATTACTAGTCTAAATATATGTATACGAGACGGTGCCACCTAATAGTGCGCTCTGAATAACTTGCAAGTAAAACTTGGTGCACCTGCTCCACCTGTTTCATTTGTTCAGGTGTGTGTGAGTAAATGAGCAGCTAAAATAAAAGAACTAAAAAAAGTACATAATTAGGATTTGATAGGGTATAGTGGCCAACCAGTCGTTTTATATACCTTAAACTAACACATTATAAACAGTCGAAGAAGTGTTTACGGTCTTACCTGTGACGGCACGTGTGAGCAACAACAAGAGGTGAGTGAGGCACGGGTAAAAGTTTTTGTTGCTATAAAAAATGATTGAGGCGAAACACAGTACAAGCTCAATACCAGATAGCTTACACAAAAACTCACAAAGATCCGTCTGAAAAATGAATTACAAATGCGCTTCCTAATTCCAACACAAAAAGCAACGACTATCTACGTGCCGGTCTGTCGTGCTGCCACGACCAGCAACCTTGCTGGCCACACTAAGAATTGACAGCCAATGAAATTACAGAATTCTGACTGTCATCCAATGAACGCAAAGAATGACTAGACATGAAATACCCGGATTAGAAAGTTCCCAGACACCACTCGACCAGATAATGGGAAACGTTACAGCCGTTACAATCAAGCACTGAGTTTACAAAAAATAAATAAATAAAACATGCTTTATTTTTGTTTTCTGCAAACTAAAACAGAAATACTGTGTCTAAACTAAGTTTAGCTGTATGGGAACATGTGTAAGTCGTAAAGTCAACAGTTTTGGAATTTTTAAAAACTAAATTAAATTTGAATACTGTTGGCAGTGTGTTTTGTGTAGACGCCACAAACAAACAAACAAACAAACAAACAAACAAACACAATTAGAGCAGCAGTAAATAAATAAATACAATTTTAAACCTTTATAGATACCTCTTATTGTGTGGTATGAAAACTACTATGAACATTTGTATATATATATATATATATATATATATATAGGTGGGTTCTTTATTCACGGAAAAACATATTTTAGTAAAAGATCGTTAGCAGGTTTCTAAAATTTTATATTATATTATTATATTTGCATTTAAAATGAAATATTTTCGAGCGTGAAAAGGAATCTAAAATATTATATATATATATATACAGTGCCTATAAAAAGTATTCATACCCCTTCATTTTTTCACGTTTTTTTTTATGTTGCAGCCTTATGTTAAACTGCTTTAAATAACTTCTTTTTCCACATCAACCTACACTCCATGCACCATAATGACAAAGCAAAAAACAGTGACAACTTTGCAAATTTATTAAAATTAAAAAACCGAAATAAGTACATTGCATGTCTTTTTGGTGTGATGCGACAAGCTTTGCACATCTGCATTTGTCAGTTATCTGCCATTCTTCTACTCACCTCTTCACCTCTCAAGCTCTGTCAGGTTGGATGGGGGCAGATGCACATTTTCTGGTTTCTCCAGAAATATTTGTTTGGATTCAAGCTCAGGCTGTGGCTGGGCCACTCAAGGACATTCACATGGTTGTCTATAAGCCATTCTTGCTGTGTGCTTAGGGTCATTGTCCTGTTGGAAGGTGAACCTTCTGCCCAGTCTGAGGTTTTGAATGCTCTGGACTGGGCTTTCATTAAGGCTATCTCTATATTTTGCTGTGTTGAGCTTTCCTTCTTCTCTGACGAGTCCCTCAGTCCCTGCCGCTGAAATACAGCCCCTCAGCAGGAGACTGCGACCACCACTTTACTTTTGGGATGGTACTCTCCAGGTGATGAGCAGTGCCTGGTTTCCTTCAAACATGATGCTAAGAATTGAGATTCATCAGACCAAAGAATCTTGTTTCTCACAATTTGAGGGTTCTTTAGGTGCTTTGTTGCAAATTCCAAGTGTGTTTTCATGTGTTATCACTGAGGAGAGGATTGAGTTTGACCACACCGCCATAAAGACCAGATTGAGTGTTGCAGTGATGTTTGTCCTTCTGTAAGTTTCTCCCATCTGCATATATGATCATAGAGCTCAACTAGAGTGACCATCAGCTTCTTGGTCACCAGTCTAACCAAGGCTCTTCTCCATCGATTGCTCAGTTTGGCCAGGAGCCCAGCTCTAGGAAGAGTCCTAGTGTTTCCAAACGTCTTCCATTATGGATAATAGAGGCTACATGCTTCTGTGAACCTTCAATGCAGCAGATTTTTTTTCTGAACTCTTCCCCAGATGTGTGGCTTGACACAATCCTGTCTTTGAGCTCTACAGGCATTTCATTTTACCTCAGGGCTTGGTTTTTGCTCTGATATGCATTTTCAGCTGTTAGACCTTTTATTGAGAGGTGTGTGCCTTTCCAAATCATACCCATTCAAATGAATTTGCCACAAGTTAAAGGCAGTGTTGCCAACTGCTTTCAATTGAAAGTAGCTAAAACTGGTAGCTAAATGTCACTAGATGACATCACAAAGGCAAATTCACTGATCTATATAAAGATGAACGTAGACCAGTGGGTAAGATGAGAACTTACAATACCAGGAAGGAAGATCGGGTTGTTGATGTTTGTCTGCCATTCTCGCTCTGTCTGCACAGCATGCGTGAACGCGCTGATGACGTATCCTGTCTGCGCGAACAGGGTGCGCAGAGGTATGCAAATACATATGTTGACAGGCAGGTAGGAAAGCCAATTAAAACTATCGGACCGAGCGTTTTGATTGGACGAACATTTCTTGGTCCTACGCCTTCCACAGAATATATAAATACAGATAAATACATTTAGACCACTCAACTTAATGATTGCTATCGGGATGTGAAGAGACTTTCAACCAGCATAACAAAAAAAAATTCTGAAGACAATCACCTAGTGCACCTTTAACACCACTCGAAGTTTAGTAACATCTACAAGCAATATGAATGCTCCTGGCTGAAATTTCAACTGTCCCAGAAAAGGGTTGGAATACTTATTCAATGGAATCATTTCAGTTTTTTATTTCTAATAAATTTGCAAAGTTGTCACAAAGCTGTTTTTTGCTTTGTCATTATGGTGTATGGATTGTAGATTGATGTGGAAAAAAAGTTATTTAAAGTAGTTTAACATAAGGCTGCAACATAACAAAATGTGAATTTTGAAGGGGTATGAAGACCTTTTATAGGTACTGTATATATATATATATATATATATATATATATTGGTATTGGGTTCTTTATTCACGGAAAAACATATTGTAGTAAAAGATCGTTAGCAGGTTTATAAAATTGTATATTATATTATTATATTTGCATTTAAAATGAAATATTTTCGAGCGTGAAAAGGAATCTCAAATATATACTATATTCAAGTGAAGTGTATTTTCAAAAGTTGTTTGGGTTCAAAATTTTTTTACCCACAATTACCCTTGCATAACTTACTTTTTCATAACTTTTCCTATTTGAACATTTAGTGTACACCAGGTCAGGTTGTGTATCATGTGTATATATAATGGAAAATATTCAAGGTAGGCAAATTGTTCTTCGGCAAAAGCCACACTATATTATTACCGTACAAGGTTTTTGCCGTATCTAGCAGTAGCCTACGTCAGCAGGTGGTTCACGGTGTCCCTTTAGTCACGTGAGTGCTGAATGTTGCACTTCCTTAACGTAATTTTATGTTTTCTACGACATTTGTTTGTGTAAAATTACTGTGTGAAAAACCGAACAGTTTGGAGACACCCGAACTATATCTAAGATAACGCCTAAAACTTGTATTTCTCCGTGCGTGGCTGACCCTAATTGACACTAACATAATATAAATTGTAAAAATTACAACATTAACTGGAACGATAACGATTTTTGCACAAGAAAGCTGTACGTCAAAAAATAAAAAAATAAAAAATCAAGAGTTTTCAGAAAATTTTACAAAAAAATATTTTGTAAATCTCGTGACGCACGTAGCGTTTTACTGGTGCCAAAATATTGCAGTGAAAGTAGCTTATGTTTCTTAAACAACTGTGGCTTATTTCTTTCTGAAATAGGCAGAATTATTTGTGCAGAAATGCATTATTAGTATTGCGGCATTGCACTTGCTCTGGTAAATTTTAAATGAATGAACTAATAATAATTAAAACAACACTTGGTGTGCACTAAATGCTGCAAGCGCCTACATTTTACGGCACAATATAATTCAAACACAAACAAAACGTGATTTATTCTCTTCACAGAGAACAATGAAGTTTATGACGAGCCTGAACGAGAGAGGTTTTACAGAGGATAGTATCAAGTTCAAGATACAGGTAGGCCTAATGCTGCTCTGAACGTATTCTGGGTTAAACGGGTCTTCACTAATAGAATGTATGTTATTTAAGCTCTAAAATTAACATAACTATCCTGAAATAAAAACTAGATATTTCCATCTATTAATATTAATAGCCATATGAGATACACCTTACTAAATAAAGGCATCTTGCCAAATAAGTCATTTTGGTAAAGCATGTACACATTTGATCTCTGAATAACTTTCACGTTGTTTAATTGTGTTTTTAAAGTAAAGTTATTTTCTTTCTGTGAAAATGAAAATCAGTATGTTTCTAAATGGCTTGGTGGTCTTGGGCGTGCAATGCTTTATGTTCTTTCCTTATAACGTGATTCAGAGTAAGACGTTCTGGTGGATGACTGGCTGACATCCAAATAAGTGAGTGCTTGAGCTATATCCAGAACACTGCGTATATATTTGAATAGATTTTATCCGCTGTCTTGGACCGAGATCTCTGAATCTTGTCTTGAAGATCATGTGAAGTGATTGCATTCTCAGTGCACACAGTATGATATGCTGATAAACAGCAGTAAATATCTGTTAAGATGCCAGGTCTCAGGTGATGGTGTCACATTCTGCCTCAGGATTGTGACAGGTGGTTTCTTCACAGGGCCAGCTGTCCTATTTTTTGCAGCTAATGGTATCTGCTAAATGTGTCCTACGGCACAAATACAACGTGTTCTGTAGATTAAAGGACCTTACTAGAAATAACTTTAACTGTGGCAGGTTTGAGGTCTCTTGAGGATTGACCAGATTTTACGGGAGAGGAACTATTAAGTCTACACTTTGATTTAATAACTGAGAAGACTGGCTAAACTGTCCAAACTCTGGCTCATCATTAAAAGCAGCAACAAGATTTATAAGTGCATCACTATTTATCATGTACATTTTGGGAGTCGAATCTCTTCTTTTGCATTCATTTTTTTATTTGGCTTTACAAATACCCTTTAGATTATTTAAGATCCGAGCATACTATTCAACAGATGTGTGACTGATTTAATTAAAAATACCAATAAGAATTCATTTTGTATGATTTGAATCAGGCAACAGCAGTCTGACAAAAAAAAAATCGTATTTAATATTTATAGATGTAAATTATTACCACAATATCGACTGGTAAACCAATATAATAAAATATACATTATAGAAGGTGGATAGGTTCTCGTTCTGTGTAGAAAAG